CCATTCATTCATTCCTGCGTAAGCCATGCGGAAGCGCTGCCACAGCGACTTGTGCGAGGTGGTCTGCAGTATGCCCGAAGACGAAGTGGGTGAGAAGGAGAGCTTAGCCATAGCGGTAGAGGTAGTAGCGGCCATAACCGCCATAGCTGAGAGAAGGGTGTAGTGTGTGTGTGCGTGTGTGTACAGTGTGACGCGTGTGGGATATCCAGGGTGATCCTATGTGTGAACAACAGAGTTGGGTGAGTGACGAAGAGAGAGTTGTACAGGCGCTGATGCGCCATAGCCATCTGAAGTGAGCTTGTATTTGAACTGTGTTCTTGGTTACTGTATCTCTGAGCTTTGAGTGGGCGCTTGTCGCCAGTTTGCTGCGCAACCTGTTTACATGCATGTGGGGTGTGAACGAAAGTGAGTCTGATTGCATTGGTATTGGAGCTGGTACCCGCTATTCCACGCGCCATCGTCGTGTGCCGCAGGGAGAGTCGCGCGCCATAGGCGAAGGCGCCATCGGAGACGAAGACCGCCATAGCGGATCCGTAGGGAGAAGAAGCCGCCGCGCGCACCTGCAAAAAAGACAACGAAGAAGAAGAAGAGAGAGAGAGAGAGAGAGAGAGAGAGAGAGAGAGAGAGAGAGAGAGAGAGAGACGAGCGATACAAGATTGTTTTACCACGCGTACCTGCGTTGAAGACATCGCTACGGCGAGAGAGAGAGAGAGAGAGAGAGAGAGAGAGAGAGAGAGAGAGAGAGAGAGAGAGAGACCTCTTGATTTATACTTTTGTAACTCATTGGTCTGCCCCTTTCCCATGCCCGTGGTGCACACAGTCCCATACGGTACTTGCTTGACTGGACTAGGACTGACTGGGACTGGGTACCGCTGACTCAGCACAGGTGGACTCCACCACTTGCCCACTTGCCTCTGTACTACTGTAAACAACGGGTGAAGGGCCACTTCCGGACTTTCCGGAAGTCTGTGGACTTGGCCCTTCGACACTGTAGCAGCTACGACCTTGACCCTTCAGGACTGTAGCAGCTACGACCTTGACCTTTCAGAAGTCCTACAGCTACGACTTCTAGGACGTACTAAGACCTACAAACAACAGGTCTACAGATCGAACCCCTACCACCTACGGACCCTACGGCAGTCTACCAACTGTTACGAATACAGAGGTCACGGGTTCAACTATCGGGGTAAGGTGAGGACTAGGGATCGAGCCATGGGATCTGCATCCGCTACTGCGAACAGGTGAATACCGTTTCAACATCAGCAGGCCACGTCAGCAGACCATGTCAGCAGGCCACATCAGCAGGACACATCAGCCGACAGCCACGCCACGTCAGCAGCCGAACAGTGCCACGTCAGCAGTCCTCCGGCCTGGTCTATGCTCACGCGCTTACAAACAGCCGGCATGGATCAGAAGTCCGGGGAAACGGCCGAGGCCTATCAGGCCCGGATGCTGGCTTTGATTACCAAAGCCCATAAACGGGCTGATGAGGTAGCAGCCGCAGAGAAGAAGTAGGCAAAGGACGCCGAGAAGGCACGTCTGTTGGCAATCGAACAGCAGCGCCAGCAAGACGAGGCAGCTGAAGAACGAAGTCAACAATGCGAGAAGATATTCAACGGAGAGCGAGCCTTGCTCACAATGGCAGCGGACTGGCAAGTCGAGGCCGAGAAGGGTAAGATGGAAGAGACTGAAAGCAAGATCGCTCTACTCCTCTCCCATTTCACGGATCTCCTGGCAACGTGCATTGCACAGCAGGAGAACATCCACAGCCTCGACGACGTGGTTCAGACGCACAACCAGGCGTTTGATCAACTCAACAGCCGCCTCCAGCAGTTGGAGCAACGACCCGTCGCCGCCCCCGATGCCAGCACCTCCAACACCTCTGATCGCCTCAATGCATTGGAGATCAACTTTGAAACCCTCAAGGACGACGCGCAGCACCGCCACGCAACAGCTGGAGCAGCGGATTTGTGCTACCACCACCACACCGAGTTCGGCACCGCGCGAGATGACTCCAAAGTTCGATGGTCAGGAGATCTTCTGCGATTCGACGAAGACGGACCCGATTCCGTGGTTCCGCAAGTTCGAGCTCAAGTTGCGGCTACACCACGTCAGCGAGGACAAGCATCACGTGTACTTATACTCTCGGTGGGGGGGTGCGTGCCAAGCATGCTTGGACAATCTCTTGTACCGGGTGGTAGCTGCCGACTTGTACAACAAGATCAGTTGGGATGATCTAAAGGCGGCGTGGCATAAGCGGTTCCAAGTAGAGCCGCCAGAGATCAAGGCAATGGACAAATTGCTGACCTTCGAACAAGGCACGTTGCTGAGTGTTGACTGGATTGCCGAGTACCAATGCTTGACATCCGTCTCAAACATCCAAATGGGCTTCAAGGCCGCCAAACACTACTCCATCACGAGGTCGTGTCCGGCGTCGAGCAATGCCTTGACTCACGTCGAGGACACCCTGACGACAATGGCAGAGCTCTTCGACAAGGCCGTGCAGATCATTGTCACAAACAAGGAGGCTAAGAACCTCAACCGTTCGTCTGCGACAGGCCCGAGTAGAGATCAGCATCGGCTGAAAGTGGTCGTGGTCGTGGCGGCAAGCCAACCGACCAATCTAGCGAGGCCTTGTCTGCGAATGAAGGAGGCAGACTCTCAGCCACCCGAGATGGTGGCCGCCCCAGCAAAGGTCGAGGACGCGGCGAGACGAAGACAAACATCGCATCTATCCCCGGGCCCGGCGCGGCAGCTCCAGCCCTATGGTCCCACTACGGTCTCTCCGAACGTGCGTACAAGCTACGCACGAGATTCCGCTATTGTTTGTGGTGTAACGGCGGTCTCCACGACACAGTGGGCTGCCCGTCGAAAGGCAAAGGCAAATCGGGAAACTGACCACCGTCAGGAGTGAATCGACGACACTCTCAACACCTTCGGAACTGGTCGCTTCGTGGGTGACCGCCCTTCGTTCCAAGGCACATGCGGAAGTAGATAGTCCTCCTCTTCTATATTCTTATGAGGACTATGTTGTCGGGCTCGTTCCTACGCTGGGTACTCATGCTCAAGGACAAGACGTGTGTGCGGCATCTTCCCCGTTTGGCAGCGGCAACTTATCGTCTTCAAGTGGTTCTTCACGGGATTTGGCGCACGAGTTCAACATAGAGGTATTGGACCCGCTCACGTCCGAGGATTTTGAACAGCTTCCTCTCCCAACCACGGGCCGTTTGTCGGGACGGCAATGTGCAGCATTATGCGCTCATCTTCACACGTATCTATCCTTTTATGCACCACCAACTTCGCCGATGGGGGACGAAGCTGCGGTGGGGGACATCCTTGCGTATGTTACCGAGGTGGCCCGCGAGTTTCGCGAGCAGCGGTACGATGACAACAACGCACCGCTCCTCTATGTCCACATCCAAGTTGGGCAAGCGTCCTACAGCGCTTTGCTGGATAGCAGCGCGTCTCGCAATTTCATGAACCAAGCCTTTATGCAAAGGGTTGGCCTTGGCGCACAAGTTCGGAGGAAGGCAAACCCGACGGCAATCAAGTTGGCGAACGGAAGGACGCAACAACTTATCGATCGTTACATCGAGGCCGTACCGGTGTATTTCGCACCTCATGCATGCGAACCGGTGACATTCGACATTTTGGACACCGACTTCGATATCGTTTTGGGAATGCCTTGGCTTGCAAGTGCGGATCACACGGTCAACTTCAACCAGCGGACTCTTACCGTTCGGGACGCCGTCGGCGCCGCATTGTCCTGTACTATTCCTCTTCCGCACTTTGATCCGATGCCAAGTGGTGACGGCCAAGTCGTTCCGGGCTACTTGCGCTTACGAGCAGCCCGACGAGATAGGTCTATGCTTCCTACGGACCGTCGCGGTAGCCGATTCTTCCCCTACGGACTTGTCTTCGGACCCCCGTGTGGTGCGGTTACTTGACGAGTTCACCGACATCTTCGAGTCACCTACCGGTGTGGTGCCGGATCGGCCGATCTCTCACGAGACCATTTTTGAGGCCGGTGCAGTGCCGCCGATAGGTTGCATTTACCGCATGAGCGAGGAAGAGCTTACGGTCCTCCACGCGCAACTCGATGACTTGTTGGACAAGGGTTGGATCCGCCCTAGTAGCTCCCCATATGGAGCGCCAGTTCTCTTTCTATGGAAGAAGAACAACGATCTACGATTGTGCATCGACTACCGCAAGCTCAACGTGCAAACCGTCAAGAATGTGGGGCCTCTTCCTCGTATTGACGATCTCCTTGAGCGTTCAGGTGGCGCGAAGTTCTTTTCTAAGTTGGATTTGAAGTTGGGATATCATGAGATTTCGATCCGGCCGAATGATCGCTATAAATCCGCATTCAAGACGCGGTATGGGCATTTTGAGTGGGTGGTTATGCCTTTTGGCCTCACCAATGCCCCGGTGACCTTTCAAGCGGCAATGACCAACGAGTTTCGTGCGATGTTGGACCGGTTCGTGTTGGTCTACTTAGAAGACATTCTCGTCTATAGCAGGACATTGGAGGGTCATCTAGAGCACCTTCAACGAGTGTTGGAAACGCTCCGCCGCGCCAAGTACAATGCCAACCGCGCCAAGTGTGAATTTGTCTGGCAAGAGTTGGAATACTTGGGCCATTTTGTCACACTGAAGGGCATCAAACCGTTGTCGGACAAGATTCAAGGCAAGCCCGTATCTTCGGCTCCACACCGTACCCGCGTCCAGGTTTCACCTTCAGATCGTCAGCTTCACCCTCGACCCGGCTTGACTTCATAAGGAGGGGGGGGTGTTACATGTTGCGCCTGCAGACGAGGGCCATTTTCAGGCCCTGTGTCGTTTCAGCCTGAAAGTCTGAAAACAAGGGCCTACAGGCCCTGTGTCGTTTCAGCCTGAAAGCCTGAAAACAAGGGCCTACAAGCCATGTGTCGTTTCAGCCTAAAAAGGGCCCTCCAGGCCCTGAGTCTCTTTAGCCTAAAACGGAGGGCCATTTTCAGGCCCTCATAAGATCGACCTTCCCTGAAACTTAGGCACCAGACCAGGGTTTTAGCACAGGCCATTTTGGGCCTGTTTTCAAGACAACCTTTGTTTGAGCTTCAACGCCAGGGTCTGGCTCGTTTTGGCATTGGCAAGAGCAGCCTCGTGGGCGGGCCAGCACTATATAAGACTGGCCCACCCTGCAGGCTGCAGCTAGTTCATAGGGACTTCCCAGGCACTTCACGTGCAGTTCAGGAGGCAAGAGGTTCAGGATTCGGCAGCGGCAGTCTGGAGCAGCGTTGCAGTAGTAGTAGTAGTAGCGTTAGCAGTAGTCTTCAGCGTTGGGTGCTATTAGCAGCTAGAGTAGTACTGGAGAGAGATAGAGATTTGGCGGAGGCCAGGGAGACTTACCTGCAGCGCCATAGCTCCAGCTCGTCGTCGAGGTACCTGCAGCACAAGCGCCATCTTCACAGGTTAGTACCTGGCACATGAGAGAGAGAGAGAGTTCTTCTTCTTCCTCTTCTCAGTCCGCCATCTCCCCCCCACCCTCTCGCTACCTGACTTCACTGCATCAGCAGACTACGAGTGAGAGGTTCGTGACATTCGGATCCAGACTCGACGTTGGGCTTCAGTCATTTGACCAGGGATTATCTGGGACTTGTCCCGAAGACTTGGTGTTGACGACATTCCCATCTTTCCCCTCCTCTTCGACTGATCCCCTCCTCTTCGTCTGTGTATGGTCTGGACCTGGCGCATTCTTCTTGTGTGTAGCGCCAGGCCCCTTCACACCTTGTGATGAGGATGATGTATGTTTGGCCTGCATTGCGACATTGATTGGGCTAGTCATTGGTATTCTAGCATTCCGCTGCGCTGTCTTGTACTACGTGAGAGAGGTCAGTCCCGGTCAGGTCGGGGCTTATATCTAAGTCTTCCACTGCGCTACAAGGTGCCATTTTGTATGTATCAGGACGTACATTGCTTGTTGGGATTCCACTAACACCGCATTGTCCATCCAGTCCTTTTTATCACATTGCGGATCCTTGGTTTTTCATAAATTGCCCAACTGGGCGTGTAACAGCAGGCCTGACAAGTGACGAGAGGCCTATTTTGGGTTTTGACACAGCTGAGAAATTCAAGCGGTTGGGCAGCGCCAGTTGGTTGAGTGAACCCAGGCCCTGCCTGCCTTTTTCCAAATGTATGGAGGCAGGCACTGGGCCAGACACGGGGCATGAACTGAACACAGGCCGCTGGCAGTTGGACACGGGTAACCACCCCAAGCCTTGTGGAAGATTCCCTGGGACAGGGGCTCAACCACTTGGGGCCTACCGGAAGCTTCCGTGGGAAGGCCCAGGCCAGCCAGGCAGCCCACGACTGGCAGCCTCATTCCATAAAGGAAAGGGGCTGGCTGCTGGCTGGACATTCAGGCACTCGCTGCTTATGCGCAAGCGCTGCTGCGCCAGCAGCTGGAGCGAGTGCCTACGTGCTCACAGGCGAGGAAGAAAAGCACGCAGCCATAGCCGAGCTGGCCATTGCTGGATGGGGCGCATGGTGGTCCTTGGGTGCACGTGGCATCTGTGTGGGGGATCGAGGTTGTGAGTGAAGCGTGAGACATACCTGGTGCTTGAGGCGAATGGCATTAGCCGAGATCTGCTCGTACTTCGGGAAGTCGTTGACGTCACCAGCGGCATTGTAGATAGGCTAGATAGGATCTGCCATTCGTAGTTCGGGCGCTGAGCGCTAGATAGGGATTCGACATTGGTTCATTGTTGATAATGATGAGACTATTCCAACACTGTCACTTGTGAGCTTCTGTTGTGCTCTTATTTGGTGGAACTCGAGTTGCAATTCTGCTTTTGGTTCGAGGTCAACGCTATCTGGTTTCATGTGTATGATGATGCTTGGTTTCTGGAATTCGCTATCGCTCATTTTCCTTGTATTTTGGTATTGGAGTTGTGGTACGTTGCACTAATATGGCGCTTGTCTTCTGCTTGTGCGGTGCATGCACGTAGTTAGCTGGGTGAGTGACCGTGGGTAGTGTGCAGTGAGGAGGGCGAAGGCAAGCAGGCGGAGAGGGGTAGGAAGGCTGAGAGGTGGTATTGGTTGTTTCGCAGTGTGATGAGAACTATCTGATGTGCGATTTATGACACAAAGATTTTCAATCCTTTGCTCTAACCAACTGAGCTACCTAAACAAAAACAAAATCAAACTATGTTCAATTCAAAAAAGGTAATTCAAAGATTACTAAGTACAAAGGCACATTTTGGTAATCGTACACCTACTTCAGACTTTCAGCCATATCTGTACGGATTACGAAATGAAATCGCTATTATTGATTTAGAAAGAACACTTCTTTATTTACGAAGAGCTTGTAATTTCATTGAGTATATAATTCGTTCAAATGGTCATAAAGTTCCACTGCAACAGTTGCCCATTCACCCGTCCAGTCTACTAAAGTGCCCACCAAACCGTGCAAAATGTCGTACATCACACGGCTTTCCAACTTGAGTAATGAATAACCTCATGCATGATGGATGACTCCAATCAGGAAGTCGCCCGATATCATACAGTTATGACTCTGGCGAGTCTTTTCGAGTGTCTCCAACCACTCTGGCCAGACCTTTCTGCTCGAGCAAGCCTCTACGAAGAAATGTGGCTCGAAAGAGCGAGCTGGGAGTCTGGATTTCGGAACCTGGTTACCAGCCATTGCATGTTTTTTTTAGGTCTTTGCCAGCTATAGCAAAGACCTTAGCCCGTGAGCGAAGCTTGAATTTGGCAGCATATACCATAGCCAAAGAATGACGAAGTATATATGACAATCTAGCTATGCATTGGCGCTTCGAGTCTGCTATGTGATAGTAATTGGCGAGACCGCGGAGAAGTCCGGAGATACGTAAATGTGTAGTAAACTCGTAGATGTTGTATTTAACGTAAACAAAAAGTTCCAAATAATGGGAACTACCCAATAATAAATAAGAAAAAAACCAACAAGAAAGAAATTACACTCAAATAGAACAATTTTGTCCATTGGACCCTTTGTGTTTTGTAACAACTAGGAATAACAAAACACCAAATTTGATAACTGAAAAAAGGAAAAMAAAAAAAAAGGGCGAAGCTTAGGGAAATTTGCATATATGTTTTCAAAGCTTCAGTCATTTGTGTGCAAATAAATGATGGTTTTTCTATGCATGGAACAAGAAAAGGTTTAGCTAATAAAAAAACAAATTCTTCTGAGAGACAATAACAAGTCAATAAAGTGAAAACAAAACAAATAAAAATCCACAAAAAATGAATTCAAGCTTCCTCGATAATCATTTTCAATACTGAATTCATTATCCGTAAATTAACATACATGAACGGATGGAGAGGGATTCAAACCCCCGATATTTTGTAATATGTCAGTTTTCAAGAGTGATACCTTCAACCAATCAGACATCCATCCAAAGCAAAGACGCCCCTAACAGGCTCAACTCTGTAAACGTCAGCGGGCTCGCACTGTATTCTTGGGCAATCTTATTTTATTTATCAAGATGGAGACGCAAAAAACTCAACAGCGCTTTTGGAACATGCTATGTTTTCTCTTCCCTTGCGGGATTGTGATGAGTCTCATGCCCTACACACGAAATACGGCTACATGCGTCTTTGTACAATAGGTGACGTAACGGCCGCCCGACTAAACATGCCAATAGTGACAAAATTCATGTGAGCTACTGAAGAATATGCAATGATTTTTTTCAGATCGATTTGTCTTAATGTAGTTAAGGAAGTATATATTATAGCAATCACACTAAGAGTATAAATGAAAGGAGTGAAATAAAGAGTAGCTTCTGGAAACATTGGTATTGAAAATCTTAAAAAAACATAAGTTCCCAATTTTAAGAGAATTCCCGAAGGCTTTCCATAACCTAAACCTTTAATTCTCACTTCAACTGACTTAATTCTTAATGGAATAGCAACACGCGCTACATTCTCAGCAGTAGCTTGAGCAACATAATTGGTTGAACAATGAGATTCTTTAAATCCCACTAAACCAGAAGAGGACCAAGATTTGGTATCTTCAAAAGAATTTGTTATGGTAATTATAATGTTATTTGGTTGCTTCGCTTGTAGTCTCTGAGGCTCCTTTTCGATCAAACTATGGCGAGCCTGCTGATTGACCAATGAATTTGGAACTTCCAACTCTAAGGCGTTTCCAGCATATAGCGAAGTGATTGAACTCTCATGTTGCCATGAGAGGGACCCATCTTGAGCCCACACAATAAATCCAAGAACTCCAATACTTATCATAGATAAGGGTCGGGAGTTGTGTTTTCCCACCCTCCGAACCGCACGTGATAGTTTCCCATCATACAGCTCTCTGCCACGAATCATCGTTCGATAATGTTCTCGATAAACTAGTAGGTTTATATAGGACCGCGCCCATCTCAGCACATTGAAACTATGGCAATACCATAAAGAGTAGGATAAGATAAGAATGAAAAATAAGATAAGAAGTAAGCACTGCATGAATAATGTAAGGTCACTTTGATGACGCTGGATGTCACAAAATTCGAAATGCTTTGTTTTTTCTCTCCTCCGAACCGTACGTGCAACTTTCATTGCATACGGCTCTCCAAGTAAATCTTACAAGACCGTATTCCCCAATTAAGATTCAGAACTTCGCGTTAGCGCCTTCTTGGTATACTACCATAATGAAGTTACCTTTCACTTTTTGTACTTGGATAGGTTTTGTTTTGGCTTTTTTTGGAGGTTTCCGAAGTTTAATACGTCAACTTTCAAAACAAAAACTGAATTGGAATTAATCGTTGGAGTAAAAGGATTCGAACCTTTGCATGTCGGTATCAAAAACCGATG